GGCTCTATCCTATCGTTTACTCCCTACCCCACCCACCTCCCTATTTTTTGCGTATAAACTGACGTTTTCCCAGCCACCATCAGTTCTGAGGAAGGGTCACCAAAACGTTAACTCTGTTTTCTCCTTCACAGATGCTGCAGACCTGCTGAGCTTTTCCAGCAACTTTGTTTTTGTTCTTAGTTTGAAGTCATGTCCGTTCTTCCTTCATAGGTTTTTTCCTACAGCACCAAGCACAATATTCTTTTTCCACTCACCATGTTGGACCTTCTTAGCTTAGTTAAGTACAGAAGATATACCACATAATACTAAAACCGCTGGGGCATCTCACAAGAGATAATGGCTATACGAGCCAAGATGTAGATATAGGAACAAGTGGGCCCCTGGAGCTTGCTCTACCATTCATTCAAATGGCTCATTTGTACTATAATGCAATTTGCCTACACTTTAGCTCCCACATCCTGTAAATGTGGGAAGAGGATTTAATCATTACAGAATATAACTCCATTCCTACAAGAAGTCTCTCATTTAGCATTTTGACTTCCATACGATATGTTGACAGGACAATGATTACATTGATTATCTCACTGTGCCACCTACTGGTCCATTCTGCAAGCTACTGCAAATAAAGAAATTCACATCATTGTGCTCACTGATAAATAGGAGAAATAACTGCTGAAAAGATCTGACCTGATTTTATCCTGATACTTACAGTCTATTCAAATGCATCATCGCATTGTCTTCATGTTCTTGGTCAGCTGTTGTGTTCCAAATACATATCCAGTATGGTAACAGTCCTCCATCTCTGTAAAACTACCAGTCTGGTGACTTCCCACCTCGATGCATTTACGCACCTTCCCCCAGAAGAAAAACTTATTTGAAATTACCAAAGTATAACTGGGCAGCAAAAAGCTAACAGCCTCATCTGAAAAACAGTGGCTAAATCTGTCAACAAACATTGGCAAAATTAATCTCTTTGGAGCCAACGAACTCTACACCCTTAAAGAAGCAAGAGAAAGAAGGAGTTCCAGAATTCAAGGCCAATGCTTGGTGCTGCAGGAGATTCATGAATGTTGCAATTTAGCTGTGTCAGGAAACAAAAACTCCCATACAGTCTGTCACCTGAATTCAACAAGAAAATGATCAAATTCCACCATTTTATCAGCCAACATTAACTACATACGTAGTGTTGGCCTACCTCAAAAATTGGATAAAATATCAATGAGCTTCAGCTTGCCAGGAAACAAGGCTGTACCAAGGTTGGTGAGAAAACCATCCTTATTGAGATGACTACCTGTGAGAAGCCACAGAACACACAGGTGTTCCATATTTTATGGAAAATGGCACAAAATTAAAGTTGATGTTGATATCCAAGTGCAAAACATCTCCAAAGAGAAATTTTAGAAAGGATTGGTCATCCTTGCTCACAAGAGAGGGCAGCACAGTAGCTCAGTGGTTAGCACTACTGCCTCACAGCTCCACCTCGGGCAACTGTGGAGCTTGCACCTTCTCCCCACATCTGCGTGGGTTTCCGCCGGGTGCTCTAGTTTCCTCCCACAATCCAAACATGTGCAGATTAGGTGGATTGGCTGTGCTAAATTGCCCATAGTGTCTAGGGATATGCAGGCTAGGTGGAAATGTGAGGCTATGGGGGTAGGGTAGCTTTTGTTTTATTCCATTGTGATGCTCAATTTTGGGCCAACATCAAGTATATGTATCGATCCCACAAAACAAAGCGTTACCAGTGTTAAGTCATGCCTCTTAAATTCAGCCTAAAACACTGGTCTCAAAAACTCAACGTTTACACAAATTTATGCAATAACACCTGATAATTCATTAATATACTGCCTAATATTGTGCGGATTAAATACACAATTCAACAGGTACAGGAACAAGAGATGGGCGGACCAGGGAATTAGACGAACCACACTATTTACATTCAATTTACTTATACGTATCTTGAATGGTGGCGTATCCAAACAAATTACGATATCACTTCACAAAATGGGTGGGCTTTGTCACCATTAGTAAGTAACTGGCTCTTTCTCAACATTAAGCTCCGCAGAAGAAAGCAATGGATTGCAGCAGCAGCAGTTTTGGAGCACCACGGTGGATAACAGCAGCGGAAGACCATGTCTTAAAAACATATTACTCACGGGATAATATGATAAATATAGCTCCCCATCACGAATTTCCCTCATATCGGTGGTGGTGAACTGGCTTTTTGAACCACTAGAGACCACACAGCAATGAATACAGTGGATGCGACCTAATGTTGCTTGTAGCAGGTCAGGTCTAACGCAGCAATGCCGCATTGATTTCTTCTACATTTGCCCTAAATTTGCTTCGAAGTCACACATTTGAAATAAGTGAATGGAAATTCAAAGTATTTATCAAGAGAAGCTCACCTCTTCAATCATATTGTCCTTTTCAACCGAGAGCTCCTCATTAGATGATCCATTTTTCACCATTTTTTGTAGACGGTAACAGTACTCCCGTATCTGGCCACCGGAAAAGGAAATGAAACAGTGCAATTTAAAGGAAGTAATGCCAACGTTATTTTAGGAGCCAATTTGGAGAGCAGAACCTACAAGAATAATAATCTCAGGATTACTACCTGAGCCTAGAAACTGGCACAGGGTAAATAAAATCTGAGAGTTAAATGTGTGGCTCAAAGATTGGTGTGGGTTGAATGGTTTTCAGTACATGAGTCACTGGCCCCAGTACTGGGGAGAAGGCAGCTGCTCCAGGGTATGAGCTTCACTTGAATCATGTTGGGACTAGCATCCTGGGAAAAAAAAAATCGAATAACCAACGTTGCAGCAAGGGTCTTCAGCTATACTGGAGGGCAAGAGGTCTGGAGAGGGAGTGTGTAGGCTTAAAAGGCGAGAGGATATGGAGGCATTTCAGGGCAGCTTTTTAAGTTGTGACACCCAGAGTGCGACCAGAAAGGATAGAGTATACAAACATGAGAAAAAGCAGCGAACAGTTTCAAATGGGTAAAATGGTGAAGGGCAAATTAATGGGGCTTTACTGAAATGCAATTGATATTCAAAATACAATAAACTGGTTAATGGTACAAACTGGAACTAATGGGTTTGATCTTATAACCTCTATTGAAATCTGGTTAAAAGAAAATTAGGGGTAAGGACAGGCAGGAAAGAAACTGTGGTGGGGTAATTTTTTTCGTATGAGATAGAAGAATAGCAAGAAATTATCTTAGACCAAAAGATATAGAATCCATATGGATAGAGGGACAAAATAACAAGGGGAAGTAGACACTTGTGACAGTATTCTATAGGGCCCTTAACAGCAGTTACACTGGAAGAGAGAGAATAGGAGGGCATGTTAAAAAAGGCAGTAAATTAATCAAGGGTGATTTTAATTTTCATGAAGATTTGGAATATCAAATTAGAAAAGGTAGCTTTGAGGAAAAATTTATTGAGTGTACCATGGCCAGTTTCCTGGAACAATATGCTGTGAATCCAGACAGGGATCATATTAATTTGTATCTAGTAATGTGTGATGAGGCACGTTTAATGCATGATCTCCAAGTAAAAGATCCCCTAGGTAAGTAACCAGAACATGATAGAATTTAGCATTCAGTTGAACAGTGAGGAACTTTGGTTGGAAACAACTGTGCTAAACTTAAATAAGGGTAATTACAAAGGAATGAGGGCAGAGTTGGCTGGAACGGAGTGGGAAAGGGGTTTAGCAGACGGATGATGAACAATGGCAGACATTGAAGAAAATAGTTCATGACGCACAGCAAAGATATATCCCAGTGAGGAAGAAGGATTCTAGGTACAGGATAAACCAACCATGGTTAAATAAGGAAGTAAAGGATAGCATGAAGTTTAAAGAACAAATATACAATGTGGCAAAGATTAGGGGTAGACCAAAGGATTAGGAAAAGTTTTAAAGGCCAACAAAATGACAAAAAAAATTAAAAAGGGGGAGAAAAAGACAAGGGTAATCTAGCAAGTAATATAAAAGCAGATAGTATGAGTTTCTTTGCATATATAAAAAAAGAGAGAAACTAAAGTGGACATAGGCCACTGGCATGAGAAAGACACTGGCGAAATGACAATAGGGAACCAGCTGAATAAATACTTTGCATCAGACTTCACAGTGGAGGACACTAACAGCGTTTCAAAATTACTAAATATTCAAGGGTTAAATATTGTAGCGTGGACGGCGAAGAAATAAGGAAAAGGGTTCTAGGGAAATTATTGGGGTTAAAAGGCTAATAACTTATCAGATTTGATGGGTTGTATCCTATGAAGTTATAAATTTATGTTTCTTAATCAACCGGCATTTATAAGTGACTACGTTAAGCTGCAATTTTTTGTGATATTTCTTTCCAGTTACAACATTTAAAAGATATTTGGATAAATACATGAATAGGAAAGGTTTGTTGGGATATGGGCCATACACAGCCAGGTTTGGGAACATGGTCAGCATGGGCCATTTCCACCAAAGGGTCTGCTTCCATGCTCTATGACTTTGATTCAATGACTCTATAAGTAGCTATAGAGATAGCAGATGAACTGGTACTAATCTTCCAACAATCCTGGGAAAGTTGTGATAATTGGAAAACTGCCAATGTTATTCAAAAATGGAGAGGGACAAAAAATGGGCCAGTTAGCTTAACAGCTGTCATTGGGAAATTGTTAGAACCTATTATAAAAGATGCAATTGCACAGCATCGAGAAATACATAAAACAATCAAGTAGAGTCAATGTGGCTTCTTCATGAAGGGGAAATCAAGCATGACAAATTTATTGCAATATTTTGGGGAAGGAATATCAGGATAGATAAATGAGAACCAATAGTTGCAATACATATCGATTTCCAAAAGGTGTTTGATAAGGTATCGCACATAAGGTTATTTAATTAGATGGTGTTGGGGACTGTATATTTAGCATAGAGAAGTGGCTAAGTAACAGAAGACAGAGACTTGAAATAAGGGGTGTATTTTCAGGATGGCAACCTGTAACTAGTGGAGTGCAACCTGTAACTCGAACCAGTGCCGGGGCCACAACTGTTTACTGTGACTTGGATGGCAGATGTGAACGTGCATGACAAAGATTAGGTGAGAAGGCAAGTAGTGAGGATGGCACAAAGAGTCGATGTGAGGTTACGTGAGTGGGAAAAATCTGGCATTTGGAATATATTGTGGGAAAAACCGTGAGGTTATGCACTTTGGCAAAAGAATAGAAGAGCTGAATATTATTGAAATGGAGAAAGAACCCAGGAAGCTGCAGTACAGCGGGATTTGGGAGTCCTTGTGTGTAAGTCACAAATAGCTAGCGTACAAGTCCAGCAGGTAGTAGGGAAGCTCATGTAGTTTCAAAGGAATGAAGAATGAAAATATGGAAGTTTTGCTAAAACTATACCAGGCACTAGTTAGATCTCAGCTGGAATACTATGATTAGTTTAGGTCTCCTTATCTAAGCAGAGATTTACTGACATTGAAGGCAGTCCAGAGAAGATTCACAAGGCTGATTTTGTTTATGGAGGAATTTTCTTCGGAGGACAGAGTGAGTAGATTGGACTTGTATTCAGAGTTTAGAAGAAGGAGATGCAACTTTATTGAAACATAAGGATTATCAGGGGACTTAACAGACAGATGCGGAGAGGTGGTTTCCCTTTGAGGGAGAGTCTGAAAGCAGAGGGCAGAATCTCAGAGTAAAGGGTCAGCCATTTAAGAGCAAGATGACAAAGAATTTCTTCTCTGAGGATTGTGAATCTGTAGGATTCTTCACCATAGGGGGTTGGCAAGGCATTTTCATGCCTGCAATTGACAGATTTTTAAACAGTAAAGGAAATCAAAGGATATGGGGAAAAAGCAGGAAACTGGAGTTGAAGGTTATCAGACCAGCCATAATCTGATTGAATGAGGGAGCAGACTCGATGGGCAGATGTTTTGGTTTAACATCTCAGCTATCCTAAAGTCCCACACTGGAGTACCGGTTTGGATTTATTGTGCTCAAGACCTGGAGTGGGCATTGAATCTGAAGCCTACTGATTCTTAGGCAAGATTGAGAAACTAGTCAATTAAGTAAAATTCAGATTTGATCTCTGCATTTCTTCTGATGTCCATTTAAGAACATGATGAATAGAGTAGGCCATTCAGCCCCTCTAATGTCTCCTCTTCCAATGCCTTTCGACTCTCTTTTCCAATTTGGTCATACTAAATTAGTCATCAATTTTCTGCAGTTTGTTCTTCACTCTCCACTCTAACTCTAACTAGACCATCCTCTGAATACCTTCACTGTTGAGACCAAGACTTTCTGCAACATGACAGATTTAGTTTTATGTTCGCTAATGGAAAACTTCACCTATTCTGACAGTTTTTTGCTCGCAGTCTCAGGCATTTGTATGACTCCCCAGGATTTCTGTTTGGAATGCAACTTGTGAAAAAAAATGCAGGAAAACCAATCTGACTGTATTTCAGCAGTTATTTTAACTTATTCATACCTTGTGATTCAGAACAGAATTCATGGCCTTGCTGGCTTCTGAACTATAGGATTCAGGAAAACACTTCTTAGGCATAACTCCATGTTTTTCTACAAAGTAGAGAAGAAAAGTTTTTTTTAAATCTTGAAATCTGTTAGTTTCAAAATAAGAAGCTTCCTTGTATTAGTTTTGCTTGCTCTTTAACTCCATGAAGTTCAAATCGTGTTCACAAGTCCTTTCTCTTGCACTGTTTATGCTCTTCTAATTGTTTTCTTAAGTTCCCTCCTGCACTTCTTGTATTCGTCAAGGGCTGCAGCTGAATTACTCCCTTTGGTCTTGCTAAAAGCCCTACTCTTCTTCGTCATCCATTCCTGAATTGTCCTAGACATCCAGGGTTTTCTACATTTTCCTCTAAAGGGTAAATGTTGGACCTGTACTCTCCCCAGCTGTTTCTTGAATGTCATCCCACTGCTCTGCTGCAGACTTACCTGCAAGGAGCTGTTCCCAGTCTAGTGTGGCCAGGTCCTGTTTTATTTTAATAAAATCTGTCTTCCCCAAATCCAAAGCCATCTTTTGCAGGCCATCCTTTTCCTTGTCCAGAACAAATTTGAACCATACCACGTTGTGGTCACCATCACTAAAATGTTTCCCCACTACTACATTGAGCATTTGTCCAGCTTCTTTGCCCAGAAGCAGGTCCAGCACTGTGCTGTCCATTGTTGGGCCGTCTATGTATTGATACACAAAACTCCCCTGGATACATTTCAAGAAATCTGGCCCCTCTAAACCCTTTACTTTATGACAATCCCAATTTATGTTGGGAAAGTTGAAGTCCCCTAGTATAATTACTCAATTGTTCCTCTAACACACTTGTCAACTGTCTACATATTTGCTTTTCTATTTCCCGCTGACTCTTTGGGTAGTCTATAATACACTTCCAGTTAAGTAGCTGCCTCTTTAACATTCCTAAGTTCTACCCACTAAACCTTGTTTGAGGACCTTCCAAGCAAATCATCTCTCCTTATTACAGTAATTGACAACTTAATTAATAATGCTATACCCTTTTTACACCCTCCTCTGACTCACCTAAAGATTCTATAGACTCTTAATTCCAGATTTTTATTGAAATCATATTCCACCATCTGCCGTGGTGCGATTCAAACCCTAGTCCCCAGAACATTACATGGATATCTAGATTAGCAGTCCAACGTTAATACCACGAGACTATCACCTCCCCGCTTTCTGATTCAGACCATCAACAGCTAAAACCACACTACAGGAGTGTTCATCTCTGGTCAGTAAGAACTAAGGTGAGTTTGCTCAAATGGATTTAAAATAGAACCTTCAAGGTGAGCAGAGAGACAACTTTAATTCTGCAGGTCCAGGTTCCATGCTGACACATATCCGGAACGAAAGTACAGTCTTTTAACTGACTGCTTGCCAGACTTATGTCATTCTGAAGATTGCATTGTCTACTACTGCAGTCTTAACATTTCTGAATACATAAGAGCCAAAAGAACTGTGGGTGCTGTAAATCAGGAGCAAAAACAGAAGTTGCTGGAAAATCTTTGCAGGTCTGGCAGCATCTGTGAAGAAAACGTTAACTCTGATTTTTTTCTTCACAGATGCTACCAGGCCTGCTGAGCTTTTCCAGTAACTTTTGTTTTTATTTCTGAATACATGACCTTGTGGTATCCTAACCTGTAGCCATCCTGACAAACCTCATCTTTGTACCAGCTGTACAGCAGATATAACAGAGGACATCTTGCAATGTCAGCACTCTTGCATTCTTAGATCCAAGACAACATGTAACAGAGATCACACATAAGAGCTTTTGGCAGAGACAGGAAATGAAACCATAAAAATGCGTGAGAAAATACTGTTGCCTTCTCCAGTCCCGATGTGGAAATGCAATGTGTAATTTTCTAACTAAGTAAACACTGGGCTAATGGCCTTCAACATTATTTATATGCAAATGCCACAGCAACTTTGGATGAGGAACAGATGCACAAATCAACATGGAAATCTAAAAGTTGTTGTTGCAGCTGAGCCACACCACTGTTAACAAGATACTATTCGTGCAAAAATATCTGGTTAACACTGAAATGCATTGAATGTCCTGAGGTTGCTGTATTTGTGCAGTTGATATAAACCAAATTTGCCACAGAAAACCAAGTCTTGTCCATTGTTAACAATTTGATAAATATTAACAACTGCCCGTGAATTTTCAACGTCACGGATGTTGATCTTTACACACGTGGAGTCCCATTCTTGGAGGTTTTCATTGTTGAAGATCTTAAAAAAAGTTAAAAAGAATTTTTTTTCCTTTTTCACTAAATTCAATTATTCTTTCACTTTTATAACATGCGCCAATGAAAGATCACAAACCTGAAATATTAATTCTGTATGATTTGCTGAGCATTTCCAGCATTTTCTGCTTTTATTTCAGATATTCAGTCTTTACAATATTTTGCTCCTAGGCCCTCAGTGCTGATGCAGATAATTTGACAATATTTCAATCTAATTTTTTTAAGGAGATATACAATCAGTTGCCTGTTGACCCAGATCCCAGACATTCCTTGCTATGTCAATGACAGTTCCCATGTTCAGCAACTTATAGGAACATCAGGTGGGATCTTTTCCCCTTTAGCCATTCAACGTTAATCTAGGACCCAACTTCATATGTGTTCCATGACCCTAAACACATTTGGCTAGCAAAAATCTATCATTCAGATCTCAGAAACTGATCTAGCATGAGTTGATCGTTGCAGAAGAGAATTCCAAATTTTTATTACTACTTACGTGTGGAAGTGTTTTCTAATTTGACTCTAGATAGGTCTGGTTCTAGTTTGCAGTCTATGTCCCCGGTCCTAGAATTCAGAACTAGCTGCTCTCTACTAACCTTACCTGTTCCCCTTAATAATATGCAATTATAGATTCTACTGCAGTTAAACAAGCAAGTCTAAAGTGCAAGTCATTCGTTGCTGAGGAGGAGTAGATTCTGTCACATTACCAGATAATTACTTCAGTTTTAAAAACAAGAAAAAGAAAATGGGCCTTACCGATGAGGTTAACAAGCATACCCCACTGGCCTCCATCATTTGCAGGATTCGTAAGCAAAAATTGCAAAAGTCTACCATCGAAAGGTTCTTCCTCTTCACCAGTCCTCTGAGCAACCTCAATGAATGCATTCAAGAAGTAAAAGCAACGCTCAATCTGTGAAAAAGGAGATATTTACTTATGTTCAAAAGTGCTGCAATGTCTCGACATCGCTGGTTTTTACAATGGCCAAGAACATCACTGTGGATACACTGCCTCAAACTTTCCCCATTTGTTCTGCACTCATTTGACTTTATTGTAGTTGCTCCATGCTCACTGCACAGTTTTCCATAGGCTAGATAATACCAGATCAGAATGTGGTAGGCAACAAGTTGAAGCTTCTACCATCATTATCCATGGTTTTGGGTATAGTATGTGTGCAAAAGCACATGTTGCCACACCAACCTGGACTCCCTATCTCACTCCCATATGAATACTTGCACAGCATTCACCGAAACACGGAAAAATTAGCAGGAGTTGTACAAAGTACAAATTTATGCAGGAATGTAATCCTTGTTCAAAAAACTACAGTAATTATAAATAAACCTACAGAATTTTAAAAGGTGGATGATACTCAATGAAACATTATTCAAACCCTTAGAGAAACACATGAAAAATACTTAAAATTGAGCACCTGGAGTTTTTAAGAATCAATTGCAAGAATTACAAATTATATGAAGGATTTTGAGTAATATGTACAGCATAAAATCAACCTGAATTGTCATCTTGGCTTAATATTACTGTGATTTATCCTAAAAATCTGCACCATTGTGTTACTTCTTTATCCTCAAGCACTTGTAAGATTTAACATTATACAGAAAGTTAAATATTAAAATCATAACAAGTCAGTGAGCTTCCAGATATCCCTCATCATACCTTCATGATTACTTTATACTGATTCTAAGTATGTAAACAATATATTATATAAATTACACAAGATTATATTGCCCCTTTCCAAAGCTTTTCACTAAAAATGTAAGATACATTTTATAGATGCATGCTATAATTTTTGGGTACCTTATCCCAGAAGAACAAGTAGGATTGACTGAACTCAAACTCTTCAACGTTAAATTTCTTCATCAATGGAAGCCGCATCACATTGAGGCAAGAGAAAATCCAACACCGCCCTAAAATTATTTTATAAACAAAGTTAATAGGAATAATCGGTGTCTTGCAGAGTGATGGAGGGTGAAGAGTGATGGAAAGAATGGAAAATTAATCAGTATTAACATTTACATAGTCATGCATACTCTGATAACTTGTGTTTTGTTTACTCTGCTCTTTCATAAAGGAAGCGAGTGTAGAATTCAAATGGAGTCCCATCTTCAAACCACTTACCTATGTCTGGTGGGGGGAGGTTTCAAAGAGCTATTGGTAGGAATCACATGTTGACCTCTTCAATCAAGTTACATTGAGTTAAACTGAGAGAACTTTTTTTTAAAATCCAAAAAAAAAGAGCAAGTTCTACAATTAGAGATAACAAGGTGTAGAGCTGGATGAACACAGCAGGCCAAGCAGCATCAGAGGAGCAGGAAGGCTGACATTTCGGGCCTAGACCCTTCTACAATCTGGTTTGCTGTGACAAACAACAATTCACCCACAATTCACCTCATTAATTATGCAGCCATACTCTTTGGAAATCCAAAGAGTCTCCACATGGAAACAGATGTGCTGTTCAAGCAGAAGGTGCAAGTACTCACCACGGCCAGGACCTTGCGGTATTCACCATATTATTACCATGTTTAAAAAAAATGCACACCACTTCCAAGGCTACAATTCAGGAGCTGGCCTCCACACTGTAGTGCTTGACCATTATCATCGAGGACAGCACCTGGAAAGGAGAACCCATACTTTGTTTCACAGAGAGGGACCAGGGGCCACTGGTGTGGAGGATGTAAATCCCTTTCCCTGCTGACTGCCACAGGAGGCCACACTACCAGACACAGCCAGCCTGGAGCCAGATAGTGTGACCCTGTCGGAAAAGGCCTCTGAGTAGTGTCGGAAGAAGATCTCATCTTCTCTCTGCTACCTCACACCCACAGGGCCACCACTCACTCAGGGTCTGCCACTACTCACACATCTCAACAAGGCTCATAACCTGCAACTCTCACTATTGCATGCATCATGCCTTCTCAACGGCTCTCAGCCACTAAACTACTAACCCTACCTGCCTTCTGCATTTCCCATTCACTCACCAGGGACACCTCCCCATCTCTCTTGTTCATGCATTGCCACAAACTGCTCTTCCATCCGATTCCATCATTTTCAATTCCTCTGAGTGTCAGTGCAAGAAAAATTGGTCCATCCAGATTGATGTCTCCAAAACACCCAAATAGCCTTCCTATAGTTCTGGTCTGGTAGCATTTGACCTGTAAGAGTGACCATGGCTCAATTCGCAGATGGCAAGGGAACAGATCTCTAGGCTTGGTCAGACTGAGCCCCTGACTGAGGTGTGACCAACCCAGTGAACTGCAATAAGATGAACTCCCTGACTGACTGGTGATAGTACCCCCTAACTGACCATACAGCTCCTTACCCCAATGAGAACAGGTCCTCCTTGACTTTCAGATATGGCCAACTGCCTGAAACATGTGCAGTGCCTTGAATGAACCTGCTTCAAACAAGCTCTCAGGGAATGCTTTCTGATTCCAATCGTTCACTGTATAAAGATTTCTCCAATCTATCCCAATGAAACTTCATGTGAATCCTCTCTGGACATTCTCTAATGTCTTCTCATCTTTAAAAAAATGTAGTGCCTGGAACTGCACACAATGTGCCAAGAGGCCAAGCCAAAATTCAATGTAACTGCTTGCATTTGTACTACGTGTCCTTTTTAAAATTGGATACAGTTTGCTTTATTAATCGCAATCAACCATACTTAATGATTTATGTACGTATACACCCAGGTCATTCCATTCCTGAACCCTCTTCAGAATTCGATCCCTCATTTTGAAAATTGTCTTGCCATGTTCTTCCTTCACAATTCTTTGCATTAAATTTCATCTGCACTTGTTTGCCCATTCTGCCAACCTATCTACTGCTCTTTTGAAGTTCTACACTATCCTCCTCACTGTTCACATTGCTTCCAAATTTCATGTCATTCGCAAGTTTTGAAATGATGCCCTGTAAACTGGGTTGAAGTCATTTATTGATACCAGGAGGAGCAAATTCCCAATCCAACCTTGGGGAACTTCAGTATTGACCTTCCTCCAGTCAAACACCATATATTGACCATCTTCCTTTCACTCAACAAATCTCATACTCAGAGATAGTAGGAACTGCAGATGCTGGAGAATCCGAGACAACAAGGTGCAGGGCTGGATGAACACAGCAGGCCAAGCAGCAT